GTGTATATATATAGGGCCCTCTGGCGCCCCTACTTCTCAATACAGAGCTCCTTTTCTCCCTGAAACCCTCCCACGGAGCTCCACACTCCCCCCTCCCCGTCAGGACAAGTACCAGAGCCAGCACTACTCCCCCTCCGAACTCAGCACCGGCTCCGGCTGCCCGCGGAAAACCCCCTTGACCACGCGCGGATACTTCCCGTCCTTCCCCCCCTCCCCCCACGTCTCCCACATCCACTGCTTCCCCTCCTCCTCGCTGTCCGCCAGCCAGCCCCAGTCCGTCCACGGCGCTACGCACATCGTCCAGCGGAACAGCGGGTTCTTATAGTCCGTCCCCATGTTCTTGGTGAAGCACGTCGACTGCGCGAAGTCGACGAGGCAGACGCGCGGGTCGCTCTTGATCTTCTGCGTCGCGTTCGCGTTCGCGTTCCCATCCGTCACGGGCTCGGTCTCGACGACGATGTTGCGCGGCGCGAGGTCGTCGTGGCGCACGTTCGCGCCGAACAGGATGTCGCTGTCGGCCTCGACGATCTTGCGCATGATTTCCTGGCGCTGCTCGGCGGAGAGTTCGGCCCTTGGGTTGACATGGTGGAGCGGCTTTCCGCGGACGTGCTCGAGGAGGATCATGGGTCGGTATTCGCCGTCTACCTGGATCTTTCCGCAGCCGTAGTATTCTGGGGTAATGCCGCAGGGGAGGCTGGACTTCTTGCTGAGTTTCTTGTACGCTTCCTTCTCCTTCTCGAAGGCCTCAGTTGGGGTTGGTGGAGCTTCTTCCCAGCTGCTGGTGCGGTTTGGAGTGAACGCGTCGTCGTAGACTTTGCAGATGGCGTCAACGACGCTCGGGGGATCGGTGGACACGACAAGGACGACGGCGCCGTTGTGTCCGTCGTCACCTAGCTTCACCTCCTTAATGGTGATCTTTCTAAGGCTTGGGACCTTCGATGTGCGCTCCCAGCCCTTCACGAAGATGTTCGCGCCCGTGTGGTATGTTTGCACCAGGGCTCGTACGGCGTTGATTGAGTACATTGTTCTGCTTTGATTGACTGATTGGTAGATCGATTGCTGCGTTGATGGGGTTGTAATAGGAGGGCTGAAACCAGAGGCTTATGTAGTGTGTGTGGTTGTCTGGCAGCGTACCTAGGTAGTAGTGAGCTCTGAGCGAGAAGCTTGTGACGTGGGTATAACTGTAACCACTGAGGGAACCAAGTCTATTACAAGGTCTAGTAGTGAGGGAACTAGACGTACCACAAGGGTCTAACCCTAAGGAGCGTAAGCGTACTTTTCTGTGCTGCTGTCAAGGACAGGTAAGAGACGAAGGGTTGAGGGGTAAAAGACAGGGCGAAGGGCCAATCTGGTTTAAGAATACTGCGATCTATTACGCTTGCTCGCGGCTTGCTATCTCGGGTTGTTTGGCTTACCGCTTGCTCCGCGCCTACTACATTCTCGGACATTTCAGCACCTGCGCGTATCCGCCATCCATCCTCCAGCTCCAATGCGAGCAAAGCTAAGCCGGCTTGTCATCCTGATCAAGCCCATGCGCCATGTAGAGCAGCCCCACCAAGCTCTTACGGAAGTCTTCGGCTCGGGTATCGTCATGTGAACCTCTTCATAGTTGTTCCGGAACTCCAACAGGATCAGGGTCTCGTAGTCGCACAACGAGGAATACTTCAGCTTATGGCCCTTCGCGTATGCCCTCACCCGCCTAAGTAAGTGCGCCACATCTCCTTCGTTAATCGCTGAAGATGCCAAAGTCATGCTAAGCCGCCGCTCCTGGTCGCCCTTTTGATGGTGCGCAATGGCTTCATGGCGGAACCGCTCAGCACTCAAATACCCACGCCGCTTGTACTCGATGTGCATAAACAATGTTCTGTCCGGGCGTATCCATGCCAGGTCTACTCGCAGACCCTTCGTATCGACGGGCGCTTCGGAATGTGTGGTAATGCCCGGTTCAAGAAGCTCAGCGGCCATTTGCACGGGGTATACAAGATATAGGCCTGCCTGATGGACTACATCAGCTTCGTTGCGTAGGTTGATCTGCTCGAAGCGGAATGGCTCGAAATGCTCTTTAAGCCTCTGTAGAAGTGCTTTTGCGGAGTCCTTGTCTTCGTGAAGACACTCTTCGAATTTCTTATATCCCGTATTCCAGTCAAAGCGTTTGGGATCGTCTGAGTGTTCGTCCGAATTGATAAGGAATCTGGGGAGGGGCTCTGCCTGGACGGTCTTGGATGAAGGGTTCTTTTGCTCGCCTTTTGGTGGGTTGCCAGTGGGGGTTGGGAGGGATGTGCTGAGACAGTCGAGAATGGCGGTAGTGGCGGTTCGCGCGTCTTGGTCGTCTGTAGACGGCGCGGCTCCGTCTTCTGTAGTTAGCTCGGTTCGGTCGAGCTTTGCCTTCTTGGCTCCGTTTGGATGCTCTAGGTCAGCCTCTAGTCCTCTCTTGCCGTTAGCCATCTCCTAATCGCTGCAAGGAACGCCGCTGTGCAGCCGCTGACAGCGAGTCGTGAGTCCTCTTTGTATTGCATCGCCATGTTTGCGCGTTGCTTGCTCCCCTCTCTGGATGACACGAATGGAAGCTTCAAGTAAGCTTCATGGCCGTTCGCGCGTGGACTTTCTGACTGCAACTAGCTTGCATTTGCCTTCTTCTTTTCTCCAGTGCCTTTGTAAGCTTGCCCGCTTCGTTCTAGTCAATCCTAGAGTACCCTAAGTCCCAGTACAGCGTGACACTGTTCAATCGAAGCTTCTTGATGATCTCCGCAACCTTCTATCCACAAAGATTGACCCTAAATTCTGTACGCATAGCAGCGCCGACCGCGAGTCTGAGAAGATGTGTATGCCGGACGCCGGTTCCGGAACGCCGTCCCTTGTTGAGTGCCACACATGAGGTGCCCCGCGGCAATAGCTTGAGCGTGCTCTTCGGTTTGCGGGATATACTAGTTTCGATATCGGGTATGCACGTTGCCGCACACCTCTTTGTCTGTTCTGACTGACGCCGCGGCAGCGAAGACAACTGGCGCCGCTTGGGTAGGAGCTGGAAACGCTGAATACCGATGTTTTCCACGTCGTCTTGGTCTTGGGAAGCAAGACGCAATCTTAAGACCGACTTGAAGATTTCCTCTGGAGTGACTCGCCAGTTGGCGCCGCCAAGTTTGGAGCCAAAAGCGCTGAATACTAATGTTTTCCACACCGTCTCGGCCGCAAGAAGCAAGACGCATTCCCGGAACCGATTTGAGGGCTTCTTCCGGAGGGACTCACCGGCGCCGGCGCTCGTGAGCTTCCTCTCGCTTAAACATTCTGACCGGGGAGAGGAATACCATGTTCGGAAGGAGCCGTGGTGCGCCTTGGGCGACGAGATGACGCTGCTGTTCACCCGGTCGCTGAAGGCAGGAAGGACTGCAGAATTGCAAAGATGATGCTGCCGCAGAGAGCGGAGCGAAGGGGCTCACGGGAGTCGCTGGCGGCGGAGAGGATCGCATCTCTGGAGGCGTTGGTGGCGGAGTACAGCCCGTTGCCGAAGAGCGGCGCGCGACGATGCCTGCGCTTTCGTACCAGTGTGGGGATGGGGACGGGGTGGCCGAAGAGCGGCGGATAGGAGGTGAGGGGTGGTGGGATGGTGGTCGTTGTGGTGTTGAAGGTTCCGGCAGTTTGCCCCACTTAAACACCAGACGCGACGTCCCTGCCCCTCTCGCCACCACACACGGCAGAATCATAAGACGCGCCCAGCGACACCGAACCTGAATGTACAATCTGCGTGTCGATCCGCCGCCTACCAAGCAACAGCCCAGCGCCATAGAAAGCCGGTCGTTGGGTGACGCCCCGGCGCAGTCACAAGCTAACCATCGATCCTGACCGGAACGAAACAGCGAATAGCCATCTCCATCCTCTCCGTCGCCTTGCAATCGCGGAGTCTCAGCCAGAAGGGCCCGCTAGCCCAGCTCGTCGAAAACGGCTCGTTCCCGTCCCTTCAGCTCCGTTCGCCGATTCAGCTTTCTCAAGAGACAATGATTGATGGTGCTGTACCCAGGCTTGCACGTCGAGTATTCTCTGGGCTTGCTCGACATACGCTGGAGCTTACTAGAAGTGTTGCACTCTGGTTTGCTAGGGGTGTGCGAGGACTCGCTGCTCTTGGAATAGCCTGGCTTCATTATCGACTCAACACTCCTCATGTCAAATCTCTCAAGGACTTGCGGACCCTTTGCCATCAATCCACATTGGACAAAGATGGACACATGAAATTTTCCCACTCTACATTCACCTTCGTCACTAAGGGTTACACGGTCTATTATGGGCGATCGTCGAATAGGAAGCTTAATCTCGAAACGGTCAACAAGAGCTTGGAATGCGTTCCAGACGAAGATGTGTATCCCATGGCTCCGCCGCACATAACAAGTGTCACAAAGGCAGATAGCAGTTCCTTCTTCAAGGGGCCTATGCTTACGTTCTATGCTGAACTAGGGGGTTCGGGGCAGATCGCAAAGGCGCTCCTATAAGAAGCCGAGATGCTGGAGTTTATACAGCACAATCCTCACCCCAACATCATCCCCTACTCGTCATCAGCTCCCTAGGCGAAATCCAAAGGACGTAGCTCACATTGCGGGGGTGCACAATGATTTCAACGTCGCTTAGCGTGAGAGTGACACAGTGTTTTCACGTGCTAAACGCCTTACCCGGTCAATTGCCCGACGTGGTGGTCATTGTCTGCACGTGACGCTAGGTGGGGCACGACCCCAGCCCCGAGAGAAGCCGCCGCGTGAGCTTCCTTCATATGATCTTCCCGTTGGGCACCAACGACTCAGGGCAGTCATGCGCATCATCAACTTATTAACTGCTTCACACCATTCCGACTCCACTTCGTCGCTCTAAGTTTCTAACCTTCGATCGACCTTTTTTCGCGCTTCTTGCCTGTCCCATTCGCGAAGCCGCCCACAGGTAGCGTTATCCAAGGTGCGCATTGGCCGAGCGCATCCATGACCGTGACTATGCTGATATGCAATTGCAAACTGTAGCTTCCGCTTCCTGGCCGACTGAACCACTCGAAGCCTCCTTCCATCCCGATCGATCATACCCTGACCCGCCGCGCCTTTCGCGATCTACCATTACGCTGCCACATACACATTTCGGTCCCTCAAATCGCGCAAAAGGGAAACCTCAATCAGAATGGCAGCCATTCGTATCGAGCTGGACGGATAAAGCTGCGCCATTCTCTATACTCCGGCAGCAGGGATTGTATGACGATCGTCTTCCATAATGCTCGCATTCCTACCAGGTCGGTACTAGTACTGACGCGTCGTATAGGCACTCGGGAACCAAGCTCAGGCATCACACATCGAACGTCCGGCAATATAGCTCATATGCCAGGAAAAGGCGACGAACAAACTTTCAACGAGGACTATGAGAACATTGGCTATCGCAATTTCAAAGCAGTCGATTACGATAGATTGATGTCATGGAAAGCTGGCGGCCGCGTAGATGTAGGTGAAAGGATACTGACCGCTCAGAAGACAGATGAGGACAAAGTCAATGAACGTCTTCCAGCGGGCTGGAGGGCAGTTGTGGATACAATGAATTTCAGACTGGTCCGAAAGAGTGAGAAAGCATTCGTCCATATATAACGTCCTGTCTGAAAATCCAACATCACTTCCAGCTTACAATCCCGTCTGCAAGCCTCCTGCATACATCTTCACCAGGGGAGTACAGGCGAGGGGAGTGGGGAGGCATCGAGCGGGGGTAAAGGGCGTAGGAAGATACGTATAAAGGTTCGCGATCACCGTCCACTATCAAGGCGATTTCTACATCCTCTCTCGTTCGAATCCATCCTGGAGAGCATCGCCGCCTGTCACGCTTCTTTGTGATCACGTCAAGCTCGTCTTTGCTCGTATCCCTAGGGATATCTCACCATCCTTAACCTTGACCGGCCTCATCCTTTTCTATCTCCCTCCGGCAGCATAACCTTCACTGTCCAGTGAAGCACTCTCCACTGTGCCAAGGTAGCCCGAAGCTTTCACCTGCCCATCCTCTTACCTGAAATCAATATCCTTCACCCCCACATATTACGATAGCCTTCTGTTCGGATATTTGGTAACTCTCTATATTCTTCCTACGGCAGAGCATAGTCCAAGCAATCGAGGTCGAGGTACCTTATATTATACGAAGGCAGCTCGAAGCTTTCACTTGTCTTAGGGCGCCGCAAACGAAGCCACAAAGGTGAGAACAAGCAGTACCCCTTTCCGGATAGTATGTTCACAGCTGCATAGGACCATCTTCGCTATCTTTTACATCCTCCTTCAAGACTCATTCAATCAACCGAACCGCGATCAACCGAGCCGCGTCCCGAATAACACTCCGCCCTCGAGGCAGGACAGTGCTCCCCAAACCGTCAATGGAGACGTTGCCAGACGCGATCCCCAACCAGGGGAGAACACCTCAAACACTTCGCATGATCCACCCAATCCGACAAACTTAGACGATCATTTACGCGATATGACTGCGGAGGAGAGAGGAAACTGGCAGGAAGTTATCAACAGCGCTCAGAACCGTTAAGATCCTGGCGGAAGGTCGTTGGCGGACTCGTTAGGTAAGCCAATGGAATATCGCTTACCAGGTCATGTGGCTTAGCACACTAGGTGCTCTTTAGGTCTAGCGCTGCCAACGAAATTTATCGTCTCATCTGATCTTTGCATCCGTCTCCGTTAATACCTAAATAGCCACTTCGCGCTATGTTTTCACTACTCTAGTAACCAGAACTGCCCTTCGTCTGCCTCATGTCACTCTACAAGTTTTTCCCTACAACGCCACATCTTAACGAGCTCATTGCCGCGTTGGTATTAGACGGCAAGACCCAGATTCAAACTGAGGAGGAAAGCACAACTCTATTTCGATATGGGTTTTCGAAAGACTGCAGACTAATAGCTGCAGAGGTCTACAAAAGGGTAAGTACAGGAGGGTCACCTTCGAAGATCACGTTATTAATCCCCACGCGTCAGATTGACGAAATCAAGGCTGCAGTAACATGGGCAACCGTGGAGATTCCCAAAAAAGAACCAGCAGCACTCCTCCTTACATCCGGCCGTCTCACGTCAAACCTACTCCGCGTTGTCGTACCTCTCAAATCTGCTGAAGCACTCATGGGAACAAAGCTGCAATTGTGGAAAGGAGAATGCTACGAAGAAGTGCCACTAGAGCTGGGAATGACTTTGATCTTTGAAGGCGTCCAATCCACACCACACGATGTTCCTTTCCTCGTGGTTCCGTTTCGTACGTCAGCGCGTTGAGCTGCCGGGGTAGAATTTGGTCGCAATTCGCCTAATCCATGATATCATGCAAGAACTGGTCCAGGAATGTAGCTTCTGTAGTGTTGAAATCCAAATCGTTCAGGTACGTATCCAGGCATGTGGGTGCTGTAGTGCTGAAATTGGAATGTTGTCCTTGGATATTGTACCAACTCCCCACCGGTCCCGCCGACGATTGTGACTGATGGTTGATTCCCACTCCAGGTGAGCTGTTGAGAGCCAAACTCTCTTGCCCTACGGTCTGGACGAGTTCTTAAGAGGGCGAAGTCATCAGTAGTAGCAGCTCGGCCTGAGGATTCGCCTCGCTGATGTTGCTCGTCCAGCACGCGCTGGCGTTGGAAGATAGAGAGCTCTCATGTATTGCTGCCTCTTCTAAGCCCTGCACGGTACTACCTTGCTCTTCAACACCGCAAAGTTCCGGAAAATGATTGATTGTGTTCGAGTTTCCTGCTGAATCTGGAGGACTCTGCAGTATATTCCCGGCGGCGTGCTTCTCTAAGGGATCCGACCCCGCAGTATCGTTGCCTTGGGTCGAATTGGGGCTGACGTGGTCATCTTCGTCTCGTCCTAACGCATTCTCTGTTGTGGCGAGAGTGGATTCTGTAGTCGTTGGAGACGTGATCGGGCGCTCGTTTATTGCTAGTAGCCATATCTTCCGTTTCTTCCGCGGTTGCTCAGCATTCGCTTCGTCGTATCCTAAAGATGTACGCGCTAAAGGTAGGCTATAGTCAATTAGCGAAGAACGTTTTCGGCTATCTCGGTCGCTTACTGAACAGCGGGCTCCCAAGCTGCTATGACTTCTGGAATTGTGTACGGAAAGCATTCAGCATTGCTAGGTGGTAGGTATTCCGGTCTCTTCAATACGTTGAGTATGTAAGCTAAGCTCTCACGGTGATTAATGTGCGCATAGCGATATGGCTGATAAGGCGCGCCTTCGATTGACGTAAGCAAGCCATGATCAGATGCAATCGAGGAAGGCACGTACAGAAATAGCACAACGTCGTTGCTTGAGCCCACGTCCAGCCGGCTCCAACGAGGCCCTTCACCAAGTCCTTGTTCATCCATGCTGCGCCGTCCCAGATGCGCTTCATGTACGCATCACCGCGAGTTTCGACTATCCCGGTCATCATTTTGACGATAATTTCCCGGCCAACAAGTTGCATCGAGTCCAGCACGTGGAAATACGAGAAAACGCAGAGCAAGTATATTCGGGCGTTGGCTAGCGAGATAGAAGCCTGCTTGAGGAAACCCGCGGCTTGTTCGGCATGGTGTTTTGCTCTATCGATGATCGCTGCTGCACCTTCCCGCGTCGGTTTAACGAGTTGCCCAATTGGCTCACAGGTGGATCCAGACGGCGTTGGGCTTTCGGTTGGGCTTCCGATGCGCAATTGCCTCGCTTTATTGTTCCACTCTAGCGCACGGGGGGCTTCTGATAAAAACAAGTCGGCGGCAGCTTTCCAGTCTGGTTTCTGTTTCCGTTTCCTTTTGCGGTCGACGGAGTACGGTTTCGTTTTACCGCTGCTTGATGGGTCGAATGAAATGATCTGAAAGCCATCCAGCGTTGAAGAAGCTTGTTTCGGAGGCTGACTCGGCGAGGGTGGTTCGGTGAGGACGAGCAGCTCTCGAGCGGCTGATTCGCGTGACTCCGTCGAAATCGCACAGCATTCTGCGTGATGACGTTTGTAAACCTCGATAATGGCTTTTAATTGATCAACGTTTCCTGAATCGGCCATATTCTCATGAACAATGCCAACGAGTCGAGCAGGCGACGTCAAAAGGGTACGCTAACCACTTTGGCCAAAAGGATTCTTCTGGCCAAAATAGTTAGCGTCGCGCCACTCCTTCGCTGACCGCATCACGATCCGGGACTCCGTCATGCACCCACGAACACAACACCATGCGCTAGTGCACGATAGTTCAACAGAATGAATAATTGCAAAGACGGCTTCTCTGACATTCCGTATCCGCCACCACTTCGCACAACTCCGATACCGTGTTTCCCCACCTGACGCACAGACCCCACCTGACGCACACTTTTTAGTATCTCTTACCTCTTCTAAAATAAGAACTATAATAGATAAATAAATAAAATTTTAGTATATTATTTATATACTACTAGTAACTCTATATTAGCTTAGAAATTTTAAAAAGCTATAGTATTTAGTTAGTAATTAAGATTTAAAAATTTATTAAGTTTTTTTAAAAACTTCTAATAAATAGCTTATAAATTAATATATAAGCTTTTTTATAAAATAAACTTATATAAATACTTAATATAAATAAGTTTATATAATAATATACTTTATAAGTAAATCTTTTATATAAGTAAATCTTCTAAAAATACTAAGTAAAAGAATTAACTAGTATTTCTTAAATAACTAAGTAAAACCTTAATATTTTTCTATAAAAATTTAAATATATATAAAACTATACTATATATACTTACTATTAAATTTATACTATATATTTTCTATTACGTAAGCTTAAAATAAGCCTTTTTCTAAAAGTAGCTATTTTTAGACTTTAAATCTTATAAGTACTAGTAAACCTTTATAATAATCTATAAAACTTTAAAGATATATTATATACTATAGTATAAAGCCTTTTATAAAGTTTAGTAGTCTAGAAGTATATAGCTATAAAGATATTAAAGAAAAAATCTAAAAGAGTATCTACTCTTAGATTTATTCTAGTAACTTATCTTTTTCTAACTATAATTAAGGTTTACTATTATATATATACTTACAAAGTTATATAGTAATAGCTTATAAAGTTTTATAGTCTAATATATTATATTTATATAGATATTTTATAATATAAGTTAATATACTTATAATAAAACTTTTTATCTTAAATAGTTATTATATTAACTATAAAGTAAGTATAACTTTATATATAGCTTTTATTATAGTAATAGAATAAGATATAAAGATAATA